GTAGTCTAATAGATGTTAAACTGCACTATGTACATCTTGGAAATGAGCTAAGTTTTGCACTCTCAACTGGTTTCTCTTTAGGTTTGTTTTGCTTACCCTCCTTCTTTGTCGAGGGAATGTCGTTTCATGTCTTAGGAAATGTCGTTTTGCTACAGAATTTACTTCTGCTTTTTAGTCAAATCAATAGTAACTCATATCTAAACCTCCTTTCGATTGTTTTATTTTGAGATAATACCTTAAAACCCCTTTAAACTACCACATTTTTGTCAGTTTTCTACTTAAATTATTCGGTGTCCCCAAAATCCCCCTGAACTATATTTTCCTTCATAATAAAACCCCCTCGTTGCTGATGTGGCATAACGTGTGTAAATACTCGCTTGGAAGTGTGTGGCAGCTGAAAAATGCCATCAAAATGACTCGTATGACAGAAAATAATGGCTAATTAGCCTGACCCTCTTTCACATTTGTGTTTTTAATAAATATTCTTCTTATTTCAGTTATATCCACCTTTCTTTCTCATTTTTTAACCATTCTTCCTTATTATATTTTTTTTTACCTTTCTTCTTCATTTTCTGACCGTTTTTCTTCAGTTCCCCATATGGGTTTCCTCGGAAAAAAATTTCCCTCTCTTGTTTCGTCTGAAATGATTTATTCTCTTTTTTATTTTAGTCTTTTTTCATGTCTTACATATTGTTGAAATAATACCAATTTAAATCTTCTTATTAAACTCAACACCTTGTAGAGAAATAAAGTTGAATATCTTGAACCTTCTTTATGTAATCTGGATTTAGAAAAAGTAATTGTTGGCCAATTATTTTTTTATTCGCGAAATTTTATTTTGTGTAATCTTTTTATTATTATAAGATGAATTTTAAGAAATGCAACACTATATGCCTTTATTTGTATTTTTACTGTGCTACAAAGTCTACAAAGTGATTATAAGTAAGGACTTATTCAATTGGAGTTTAGCATAAAGCACAATTACAATTAAATCTAAAATTAACACAATATTAAATATTATTTTGGCCAAAACTCCTAAAATTAATCAATCATCCGGGAGTAATACATCATGAATAAACTATATAAATTTTTTTTTACAAACCATACGTTAATATAGTTAGACTAACGCACCTTTAATAGTCCAACATGAGATTTTAATTATATGGGGGAATACAGTTCAGTGGAGTTTTGGAGACACCAGATAGTTTAAATAGGTAATTGACAAAAAAGTGATAGTTTAAGCAGATTTTAGGCTAAGTTAAATAGGCACGTGTAGTGCTACATGGCATGCTTTTTAAACAATTAGGAGCATGTACTACATGCACCTCTAAGAAGGCAATGAGGGCTTTTTAACATGAAGGGTAATATAATTCAGGGAGATTTTGGGGACACCGAATAGTTTAAGTAGGAAACTAACAAAAATATAATAGTTTAGGGAAATTTTAGGGTATTATGTCACATCCTTAGTCTTTAACTAAGTACACGTGCGACACTTGACAACTCGCTCACGATCTTGCATAACTTGCTCATGTCCTTGCTATGCCAAGTTGGCCTTACTACATTTAAGATCGCTAAGGAATGTTAGAACATAGGAGAATTGCCAAAGAAAGTTTTTATATTAGAGAGAACTTGATTGTTTTTACTTGGTGAGTTATAAATGAATATCCCCTTTATATACTAGTCTCCTTGGGGCTAGTGAGTAAATAAAAATTATTACACAAGTCCCTTATTATTTACAAGTTATAAGTCCTTTCTCTAGAGTTTTTTACATAGCTAGAACTTCTAAGCACTTTCCTAACAATTTATAGGGTTCTAAGGTCTTCCACGAGAAATCTTCATATTTCTCTAGAACCTTTCCACATGTGCTAGTCTATTTCATATGGCAAAAATATATGTCACGTGGTACCTACGTGGCATGATGATATGACAGGTCATGCCAATTAACTCTTTTATTTTTTGTTTTGTTGAATGTTCGAACTTGGCGTTTGGAGATCATTTTTCAAGATTGTAATGAGATGACTGATTATTTTTATTTTCTTGAAAATTTTGTGTAAAATAAAACATTTAGCTCCCTTTTGGCCATAGAATTTGGGAGTTCTTTTTTTCAAATATCTGCTTATTTATAGATTTTAACTATTTTTAGCAGATTTTGAAAATTTTCAAATCTCAAATTAGCTATAGAATAGTTTTTGAAGTTTTCTATTCACAAAACTTTAATTTCTTTTCAAGTAGAATGCATTGCCAAATATAATTTCAACTTTCAAAAACTATTGTTCATCTCATCTTCAAAAACTCTTGTTTTTTTTTCAAATTTCAATTAAATCTATGTCCAAACGCAAGCTTAGTCGTAGAAAGTACAAATTTAATTTTATTTTAAACACAAAAACCTTGCTTTGTTATAAACACTCTTGCTCTAGTTTATATTACATTGTTATATTTAGGTAGTCAAACTATTTTATTTAATATGATTCTTTCAAATAAGCGTTGGCGGAACATTCCTTCAACAACACAGGTCAATAAATAAGTACGAAGACTGGAGTTGACTCATGGCCATTTTTGTTGAGTTGAAAACGCGTTAACTTATAGTCGTTTGGCCAAACTGTAAAAATTAGTTTATTTTGAGAAGTGTTTTTTTTTTAAAAGTGCTTTTCTCAAAAGTACTTTTGGTGAGAAGCAGTTTGTGTTTGGCTAATTAGTTTGAAAAGCACTTCTGAGCAGCAATTTGTGTTTGGCCAAGCTTTAACAAACTGCTTCTAAGTGTATTTTTCTCAAAAGTGCTTCTCAAAAAAGTGCATTTGGAGAGAAGCTAGTTTTTTCTGCTTCTCCTCAAAAGCATTTTTTTTTCCATCCAAAAGCTTGACCAAACACCTCAATTTTTGGCCAAAAGTGCTTTTGGCCAAAAAAAGCACTTTTGGCCAAAAAGAAGCTTGGCCAAACAGGCTATTAGCTAACTAATCTTTTATTTTTATTTATTTATTTGGTTTCCCACCCAGTGTTCGGTACCCGCATTAGAGCCCGATTATATCCGGATTCGCGCCACGTAGGGCCCCAATCAGGGGGAAGCGCTCCCTACCAAGGATTTTTCATACCCAGGGCTCGAATTCGAGATCTCTGGTTAAGGGAAGAGCAGTCTCATCCATTGCTCGGTGGTGCTAACTAATCTTTTAAAGTGTGTTGTACTGTTGTATAGTGTGTTTCAATATTTAAAATGAAAATTAAAATTGATAAAATTAAAGATTGTCACACTTCACAAGCTGCTTTGGTCCTAGTCAACTTTTTTCTTTTATCATATTTTGACAAGTCAACAAGTAATGTTGCTCAAATTTGTGGTCTCTCTGATCAGGTGACCACCTGTTTAAAAACAAATAATAAAAAATTAGTTTATAATCAAGAATTATTTTTATATATTTCATGTTCTCTGCTGACAATTATCACTTCTAATAAGTAGCATTTTGAAACAGATAATAAAAAGTATTCAAAAGAATACATTAAAAAGCAAATAAAGTAAGAAATAAAAGTGCATGTATGTAATGCATGTTTAAGGAATCACACATGGGAGTAGTACTATTTCACACTCTCATAATCTTTGCATAGTTGATTTCGTGAATTTCATTTAAACGCCTACTTCAAATTTCAATTTATTTTACTTTGCTATTAAGATCAAATAAATTATTCTTACATAAAAAAATTATCCTACTTTAAGTTCATGTTAATACTTTCATTCCGGAATAGTGGATTGGATTGGTTACTGAAAGAAAAAACAATAGATTAAAGTACGATGAGAAAGAGTCCAATGTGAGTCAAGTTATTAGATGTAGTATTTTAAAAAATTTAATGGATTAAGTTACTTTTAAAAGAAAAAGAAAGAGGAAAACCGAACTAGTAACATAAAATATTATAATTGAAAGGAAAAATGTTTTATAACTAGAAAAAGGAAAAGGATAACGCAATTATATATCAATAAAAGGATAACGTAATTATATATCAAGCTCAGCTGTTATGATGGAAATCCAAAAAACTGAAAAGAGTGCGTAAATAATTTATTCTTAATCAGAAGTCTCGAGTTAAAAGCATAAGAATGAATTTTTTTTTTTTTAATAGGGAACGCTTCCTGTATATTACTATATTAACACTTATGCGGCAAAAATATAAATTAGTTGGGGCTCTAAAACGGATCGTCTGAGATATTAAAATACTTTTGAAAGGAAAAAAAAGGTAGAAGAAAGCAAGCACGAAAAGGAAACGCTACAACCCCACCTCTCTATTCTCTCTTCATCTTTGTTGTCTGGCTGCTGCTTCTACCTTTGAATTGTCTATTTCTTTCTTTTAATTTTCTTTTTAAAATTTACCTATTACTAAGAAAAAATAGTATATTAAGTGGAATTATTATATAAAAGAGTAGGATAAAGGATAAAATATGATTATTTAATAATACGGAAGGGCAAGACGAGAGAAAAAAGTAAGATAACGATGCCACTTCACCAAATCTATCGTTCCATAAAGTGACACTTTTCGTCGTCACGTAACGATAGGTTAACGACACAATACAATAAAATATAAGTAACAAGCAAAACAAATATTGTATTTAAAGTAACAATACAATACAATAGGTAACAACCATCCAAACAATATATGTGAAAAATCATTTGTCCATTTGTATAGAGTCAGATTCAAGATTTAATTTTTATAGGTTCAACATCTAAAATTTATAGCATTGAACCCATTGTACTTCAGAAATTATTTATTATCATTCTATTGAATATTTACCCATAAATTTATGTTTCAAGTTGGAATTACTTAATTCATATGAACCCTTTGTTTATGTGCTACATCCACCCTAGCATATGTATTTATTTTAATTTATACTGTCTACGATAAAAAAAAAATATTTTTTTATTTAATTCTCTTATATTCGTAATTTGAATTCGCACCAAATAGGTACATTATTGAGTTAACGCATTTCCTATCAAAAAAATTCTCTGTACAAGGCTGAAAGTAGCATTTGATTGAGAGTGTAGGTATCTCAACCATCGGCCAGTATATCTTTTGATAGTGAAAATGACTTAATTTAATAGGCATACACTGAATTCAGGTAAATATTTTCCAAAAAAGTGCCCACAAAATTGTTACTAAAAGCAAAATCTGTCATTGTTTCCAGATATATGTTTTCTCTTTACATGGGAATCATGCCTTGTCCCGTGAACTTTACCATCAGTTTCTTACTCTAATTTTTCTCGTTATTTATTATGCTATATGAAATTCTCTATCTCCTTCTGAATCTGCAGTGGAAGAAATTATGAGGTCAGCTCAAGAACCGAACCGGAACGGCGGTTTAATGACTCCGTCTCCCCGGCCTAGAATCCAATCTCAGTTCCAGTCCACAGTTTCCGTGCAAAAAAATCGGCGGTTCAATATTTTGATTCTCGTTTTCCGGTTCGCTGCCTTTTGCTTCTCTCTTGCTTCTGCTATTTTCATGTTTACAAACTCTCGTGGTGGCTCCGGTTCTCCTCAATGGTACCACTTCGATGCTTTCAGGTACTACTACCATAGCAGCAATTTAGGTTCTCTGAATTCAATAACTTTTATGAAGATTTTACTATATTTAAACTGCATAAATTTAATGTAATTGTTGTATTTGGATAGGTTTGTAGCAATTGCAGCTGGGATTGTGGCTTTGTATTCATTGTTCGAAATTGGAGCTTCAGTTTGGGAAATTTCAAGAGGCGCCACTGTATTTCCCGAAGTAGTTCAAGTCTGGTTCGATTTTAGCCACGATCAGGTTCTTATCTTTCCATTTCGAATTATTCTTTTTTCTTTTAGCGGATTTCCAATTACTCCATAACTATAAGTTTCGTAATTCAAATTACTGCTAACTCTTTTTATTTCACTATAGTAAATCAAGGGAAAATTTAAAGGTTCAAATTTATCTTTTTATTGTTCAAAATTGTTCAATTTTAACTTCGGTTCTATTAATACCTTTGGTAGTTAGCAAATTGTCGCATACTTATTCATGTTATAATAGAGCTCCAATGTAAATGGGTGGACGTCTCCAAAACCTTCAATTTTACATTTAACGTTTGATTATGATTTTTCTCATGTTGGAGTTCTGTTATAAGACTTTCCTAATAATAGCGATATAATATTAAATTTCTACACTTCACTTGTGAGAATATACTGAGTTGTTGTTGTAGTAGCAATGTAATATTAGATCAAAAGTTAGGTACTAAAGTTGTTCATTTCAAATAGTATAGCAAATTTTACCTTCCTAGATTAAGAGCCCGTTTGGACATAAGAAGTTTTTCACTTTTTTCGACAATTTTTTATTTTTTCAGTGTTTGGCCGTAAAATTTCTAATTTTCACTTGAAGATGAATTTTGAAATTTTTCAAAAATTAGAAAAACTCCAAAAAGCTATTTTTCAAAATTTTCACTCAGATCACTCGAAAAATCAAAACAAACCCAAAATTATATACATGTCCAAATACAACTATAATTTTCAAATACCATTTCACTTAAAAAAAAATTCACTTTTTTGAAATTTTACAATTCTTATGTCCAAACGCACACTAAAAGTGCTTCGATCACCATTTATGTTATCAATTTTAGTATTATGATAGGAAGTAAGTTGGTACCTCATGTTTTGAATATCTAGAATTAAATTTAAAATATTAATGTAAATGATAGGCCATGAATGTTTGAACTTTTCGAAACTGACGTTCTGTGTTTCAATTTCAATGTGCATTTTTGTAGTACGGAATGTCGGAGACAGTGTGTGAAACATAGACGCTTTCGTTCTTGTTTTTCTATATAGGTTTTCGCATATATGTTGCTGTCGGCGGATTCGGCGGGAACGGCGTTGGCTCGGACGTTAAGGGAAAGAGACACGTGTACGGCTAATAATGCATTCTGTGTACAATCAGATATATCAGTTGCCTTGGGATTCGCTGGGTTTATGTTCTTGGCTTTTTCTTCTTTGTTGTCGGGTTTTCGGGTTGTCTGTTTCATACTTAACGGGTCTCGTTTTCATATGTAATAATCAGATTGTGCGTTGAGCAATTGGGGATTGAATTTGGGAGTTTAACTTTCTCTACACGATGTATAAAAGAAGAATTAACCCAAATAGCAGCCCATCCACTCGTTTCGTGGAGGTATGATGTATGTATAGCGTATGTATTATATGTGTATAAATAATATATAATTTATATATATGGTTAAAAAAAGTAAACAATGAATATGACCGGCTATTTATGTAAAGATCTCTATATAAAACTCTTTCACAATATTGCATTATTTAAAATATAATTACAAGAAATTATTCATGTAAGTAATTTTAGTATTACTTGGAAAATAAATTGCATTAATAGTCAGAGACAGATTTAGCTTTTATGGCTTCGGGATTCTAGAAAAAAAACTTCAAGTGTTAGTAATCGGAATTGAAATTCAATATTCATACGTAAGGGAAACCTTGGAGCAATGTATTGTCTTCGTGTGACTTATAGGTCACATGTTCGAGCAGTGAAATTGATCCATACTTGTATAAAGGTAGGTTGTCTACATCACACCTTTTAGGGTGCGACCCTTCCTTGGACCCTGCGTGAATACAGGATACTTCGTGCATCGGGCTATTCTTTTATACTTGCATATTTCCTGAATTTTAATATTTTCACATGATCTAAGTCGAAATTATTGGGTTCGGCCAAACATGTACGTTACACTTTGTATTTGGAGATTTTCACCTAGCTATGCTATATTAGAAACTTATTTACCTATGTTCTCTATGTTTTGTAGTTTTTAATAAGTATCTAGTTTTTTCTTACAAATTGTATACATTACTCCTTAAAAGGCTCTCGCCCCGTTATTAGTGCATTCAATTAAGGGATTCAATTACATCCTTTCTTTCTTCTTTTTTCCCTTTCCTCTTCTCTCTCCTTTTTTTTAACATTAAAATCCCTTAATTTATGACAAGAATCTCCATCTTCTCTTTTCCCACCATTGCTGACAACTTTATATTATTAAAAGATCGTCACTTGTATCTTTCTTTTGCCGGGAGACAGGACAACATTGAAAATGAAGAAACTTTCAGGAATTGTATGATAATTGTATCATAATTGTATTTGAATTGTATCAGATACATCAATCCTAAAATATAACTCTATCATACTTGTATCACAATTGTATCTAACTTGTATATGGTACATTAATACTCTAAATAATACCTGATACAATACTAATAAATTAATATACAATTATTATATATTTGTAATACAAACTGTGAAATTCGTCACGAACTCACAACTGCTCATAACAATATACAATGAATATACAATCATCATACATTTGTAGTACAATTTGATATTCATCTTCTTTAATTTTCAATCACAAATCTACACTAAAAGTATAATATAATCGTATTATAATTGTATTCGAATTGTATCGAGTATTATTTTGGGTATACTCTAGTCACATACAATAAGATTTTAGAAAAGAAAGAAAACAAGATTCAAAACTTACCCACAACTTGATTCTAGAGCAATATTCTGAATTTCATCTGCATTGTATCAATAAGAAATAGAGATTTTGGTAATTAGTAAGAAAGAGAGAAATTGGCTTTGAAAATCTTTGGAAAAGGAAAAAAATCAGAAATTTTGAGGGGATGGGGGGGGGGGGGTATAAAATAAAAG